TCGATATGCATATACATATGAGCCATGTGTCCGGTTTTGAAATTAAAAAAAAAAAATCCTTAAGTACACCTCATTTCTTTTCGTAATTTTGTTAAAATAAGGTTTTAATATTCATTTATGTTATTTATTAAATATTTTACTTTAATTTTAAGGATGTGCGGTCGAACAGAGGTGAAAACACTAAAAAATAGAAAATAAAAAAGTAAAGCAACAAAAAAGTAAATAAAAAAATATCATTCTTGAATTTTGTAGGGAATAAATGGAAAGTACAATTACAACAAAAACCATGACTCAAGAGGCCAACCAGATAACAAAAAAAAAAAGCAAAAAAAGTTCATCAAGATCAAATTTTTTTTCATCTAAGCAGGTAAAAAACTAAAATATTCAACCAATATAAATAAGAAAAAAGGTCATTATATACATTTTTAAACTTTCCGAGTAAATAAGAGTATGGTAATTACAACAAAACCCATGACACATAGGGGGATAATAATTTAGTTTAATGCAAAATAATAAAATTAAATAAGAAAATGGTAATTATTTTAGGAAAGAAATGAAAACTAATAATATTAAATGCTGAAACTTTTTACGGGATAATATAATTAAATGCAGGATAATAAAATTATATGATGTGTTTCTCCAAATTATATATAAATAGATTTAGTAATCAACTTGTGCAATTGCACATAGAAGAATACTTAAAAAAGATAACAATATATAAAAAAAATCATAATTTAATTCATGAAAAAAATATGAAATAAAAAAATGATTCTCAAAATTGATTTTGATCAAGTAATTGCTATGGAATAGTCGTTACCATTTTCTTTATGCTAATACAATCGGCCATATTCATGAGTGGGTGTGACTTAAAATTTGAGTTCAATTTTGTAACTCCCTTAATTCATTTATGCTCATAATTTATGGCACTCAAACAAGTTATTTTGTAACTTAAAAATGAAATTGAATGTTGAAAATTTTGGAGGGAGAATCTATAGTAATATAAAGAGGTTGTTGGAAAAATACAAGAATAGTATGTTTGACTTAAAAAATAATGTTTTGACTTACTAATTTAAGTAATAACAATGGGCCCCACGCGTTAACATAAGATTAATAAAGAAGATAAATCACCTAAATCTTTCCTACTAAAATTAGTTTGAATGTCGTTAACCAATGTTATCAGATTTTGTGGGATTTTATTTGTTCACAAATTTCATAATAACTACAAGATCTCGATGATAATGATTGAAATTTCTTTATAAAATCTATCGGATTATGTTAACTATATTGCTAGGATTTTGATTTATTTTATATACGGATTGCTATTACTAACCAATGTCATGGGATTTTGTGGGATTCTATTTGTTCATAAATTTCTAATTACTACAAGATCTCGATGATAATGATCAAAATTTCCTTTCCAAATTTATCGGATTTTGTTAACTATATTGCTAGGATTTTGATTAACTTTGTGTAGGGATTGTTGTTACCAAATTTGCACAATAACTACATATTTATTGGCCCGCTACAAAATTGACGATTTGGACGGGTTTTCACATTTGTTTAGCAATTATTCCTTTTTATTTTTTATTTTTGTATCAATCTGCATATTTTTGATTGATTTTATATGATTTTATTTGTTCACAAATTTCTTAATTACTACATAATCTCGAAAAGAGTTGATCAAAATTGCGTTACCAAATTTCACTGTAACAAACTTCATTTTTTTTGGCAACATAATCTTCAAAATATTTGTGTGTCCCTCACACGTGAATCACTTACCACATTTTTTTTTTATTGTTTTACCAAAACCGAAAATACATATTTTTTTAACTCATCATAAGCATAATCGAATAAGTCGGATCAGATCCCACGGGATATTATCATATCATAATAAAAAATACCAGATATTATCAATTAAATAGATTAGTACATGACGTAAATATTTTTTAAATCCCCGTGAGTGGCGTACGGTACATACAAATGACTATATAAACATCACCAACCTTGAACAACAAATATTCAACATCCATTCCACAATACAATTTTTTCACGAAGCTTTTACAACATCATTCAAAATGCCTTTGAATTTTGGAGTCATCAAGAATATCCAAAGATCCAATAAGCCACCAATCAAGCTACGCATAATTAGGATGTTCCAACGAGTTGAAGATGTACGCAATTACCGAAATGTTCTTAATATTATCTTTCACGATTCTGAGATAATATATTTTTTTATTATTATTTAAACATAAATTTAATTTAAATGCATCATTTTATGTAACATATTCCGAGGTAAATTGCTCTTCATTGTTGTTCATATCACCTGTCTATTCACACAAAATTCAACAAATAACATTTATATTCAGAAGTGAAACAAGTACGAAAACAAGATAGACTTGTCGAAGCATATTTAGATATTGCGTGGCAGTTTCGAATGAAGATCAACACATTTTGAAACTTAGAGGGCAACCGATACTACAGACCCATAGGGATAGTCGCTAATACCAGGTATTGTTTTCACATTCATATTCAACTGTGAATGTAGTTCAAATTTAATTTATCTTCACATTGACTTCGTTAAAAAAACTCCAGATATGTCCTAAGTTTGGTAATTCAGACTTTCGTGCATCTATATATTTTATAATGTCTTTGATTCAGAATTTTACAAATTAATGTTCTTACTTGATGTTTTACAGATTATATAGAGTGTTGCACGAGACTTCATAACTGATTTTGAAGAGCAACAAAAAGAACGTAAAAAGATACAGAATGATAACATTTCAATCGCAATTGAAAAATGAGTAAGCACAACAACAGAGATATGCCCAAAGAAAATGTCAAAACAAGTAATAAATGGTAAAAGAAATGAAACAAATACATATGATATATGAGATTGTTTAGTAAATACATCTGTTGATGCAAACAATTCTATGAATAACAAATAACAAATTATGTGGTAAATGAATATGTCATACCTTTCTTAATGTGTTGTAGCCCACCAGATATCTTATTTAAAGCTTACATTTGGCTTATATTTGAGCTCCAGTTTATTCTCACCAACCA